GAGACTGTGCCTGCTCTGGAGAGCCCTGTGATTTTGCATAGGCAATTGTGCTATATTGAGCGCTGGTAGCACGACGTTCTGTTTACTTTGTTTGAAAATGAATAAAAACCCCAGCAGCAGTCAAGCCGACCCCGTCCTCTTCCTTCTCAAGTCATTGACTTTGTTACACTGGTGCCGAAACCCGGGAAGGAAGCAGGAGAGCCGCCGCCGTCATGCAAACTCCGACAAGTACACCATTTGCGGATGTCATTTCATCCCTTGCGGTCCTCCACCAAGAGCAACATCAAGCGTTACTGGACATGCGGACTGATCAGCAGCGACGCTTCCAGGCCATCATCCAGGCGCAAAAGGAGGACCGCGAGAGGTCCGGAGCTGGATGGACCGGGCAGAAGCAGCCATGCAGCAGACCCCGGCTCCCCACCTGCCTCTGAACAAGATGGGGGCTCAGGATGACCCCGAAGCCTGGATCTGTTCGAGAAAACAGCGGAAGCCGGTGTGTGGCCACGAGAGCAATGGCCAGTGCGCCTGATACCCCTATTATCGGGGGAAGCGCAGGTGTCTGCTCAGCAACTGCCCGTGCGGAACCTCCTGGTCTTTGACGATCTAAAAAGGGCCATCATCCAGCGGGTCGGCCGAAGCCCGGAGCAACATCGCCAGCAATTCCGTTTGCTGGACCTGGGCGAGAGCGGCCGACCCTTCGTGCTGGCCCAACGGCTCCGGGACTCATGTCGCAAGTGGCTACTGGCTGAGGGAAGCGACGTCGAGCACATCATCGACCGTGTGGTACTGGAGCAGTTCATCACTCGGCTGCCAAAGAAGACGGCAGAGTGGGTCCAGTGCCACCGACCGACGTCGCTGGACTCAGCCATCCAATTGGCGGAGGATCAGATGGTGGCGTGCCCTGGGGTCGGCGAATCCCTTCCAGCTGTCTCTCTCTCTTCCCCTTTATTTTCTCCCTCTTCGGCTGCCAAAGAGGACGGCAGAGTGGGTCCAGTGCCACTGACCGACGTTGCTGGACTCAGCCATCCAATTGGCGGAGGATCAGATGGGGGGGCCTGGGGTCGGCGAATCCCTTCCAGCTGTCTCTCTCTCTCTTCCCCTTTATTTTCTCCCTCTCTCTCTGCCTCTCGACCTGTCCCTCTTCCCAGGTCCCGTCCTCCAGGTCCTCCGCGAGTCCGCGGGGCGGGGTGGGGCCGGACTGGAGTATGGTACTGGCCTAAGAGCTCCGCCCAGGGGGGCGGGGCTGACCACGGCTGGGACCGATGCCGCGTCTGGTTCCCAGCTCTCTCCACGCCAATCATTTGACCCACTAACTGCCACTAGGGCGGCGGGAAGGTCTGGGCCGGCCTGTTGGCGTTGCGGGGGCCCGGACCATTTCATTGACAGGTGTCCCATGATGGAGGTGGGGACAATGATCCGGGTCCTGGATGCCCCCCAGGCTGCCCTGCGGGGGCAGCCCTGTCAGGCTGGCTGGTACCAAATACCTGTGAGTATTAAGGGGGGTACCTATCAGGCTCTGGTAGATTCAGGATGTAACCAAACCTCTGTCCATCAAAGCCTGATTCAATCCGAGGCATTGGATACAGGCCGCTTGGTTCAGGTACGGTGTGTGCACGGGGACGTGGTGGAATATCCTTTAATGTCCGCTGTTATTCAATTTAGGGGACAAAATCATAGTGTGGAGGGCGCAGTTAACCCGCACCTCCGACATCCGCTAATTCTGGGTATGAATTGACCTGCTTTTAAGGAATTATTGGGATGCTTGTGTGCGGATGTCTCTTGGGAAAAGAAAAAACAGGGAAGGGGCGCGCTCGTGCAGGTTTGCAAAGTGGCAAGGGTCGTTTGAGGTCACACGGCAAGTTGGAGATCTCGATTATGAGGTGGTTCGAACAGATAGGAGTGGGGCACGTCAAATTTACCAGCTCAACCTCCTGAAAAAATGGAGCGAGGCGGAGTCAGTGATGCTGGCGACGGTAGTGAGTGGAGAAGATGATCTCGGGCCAGAGGTGAACACTAAATCTCAATCTCTCGCTCTGGCCCAGGGAGGGGATCATCTCTCACCCTCCCAGCTCACTGATGTGGCCAGGTTGCAGGCAGAGTTTGCCGATGTCTTCTCGCCCCTACCTGGTCGAACAAATCTCATTCAGCACCATATTGAGACCGAGCCAGGCGTAGTAGTGCGCAGTCGGCCGTATCGTTTGCCTGAACACAAGAAAAAAGTGGTTCAGACCGAGTTAGAGGCAATGCTCGAAATGGGGGTAATAGAAGAATCCAACAGTGATTGGGCGAGCCCGATAGTTTTAGTTCCGAAAACGGACGGCTCTGTTCGGTTCTGTGTGGATTACCGCAAAGCAAATGCTGTGTCGAAATTCGACGCATATTCAATGCCGCGGATTGACGAATTGCTGGACCGGCTGGGCACAGCTCGTTTTTATTCGACACTGGATTTAACAAAAGGATATTGGCAGATCCCCTTATCGCCGGTATCTAAGGAAAAAACAGAAC